AAAAAAAAAAAAAGGTAACCATGTATGAGTAGTCAGTGAGTTCATGAAAACATCCCCAGCATCATTAATGATTAAGGAAATGCTAATCAAAACCATAGTGGAAGCTGGACATGGAGAGGCACACCTGTCAAGCCAGGCCTCAGGGCAGCTGAGGCAAGAGGACCACAACTTTAAGTCCAATCTGGGTAAATTGGAAACTTAGTAAAACTTTCTGTCAAAATATAAAAAGACTGGGGATTTAGTTCTGTGTGAAGGGTCTGAGTTCAATCTCCAGCACCTTCAGAAACAAAAAACAAAAGCCAATAATGAAATACTGGTTTATACCAGTCTGAATGGCTAAAATTGTTTTGGTAAGAGTGTAGAGATACTGGAATCATCACACACGCTGCTGGTGGGAACGTAGCTCATCAATTCCACTACTGGACGTCTAAGAGAAATTCAAACATGTCCATACAAAAACTTGTACATGGGTATTTCCCACAGCAGTGTACACCGTAGCCAAAAGCTGGACTGTCTCAGTTACTTTTCTCTCATTGCTGGGACAAATAAATACCCAACAGTCAAAATCAGGGAGGAAAAGGTTTATTTAGCTCACAGTTAGTGGAGGTTTCAGTCCATACTCAGCTGGCTCCAAGGCAAAGCAGCTCATCGTAGAGAGCAACCTTTCATAGCCAGAGCAAACAGCAGAGAGCAAAGGCAGTGGCAGCAGCTCAGGCAGCTAGCTAGCCTCTCTCCTCTCCTTACATTGTAATGCAGATTACCTGCCCCAGGGCAGGTGCAGCATCCACACCCACAATAATCCATCACAAAATGCAGAAACCACCCCACAACTGCACGGGGCTTTGGGGGGACACCTAGACACAAACCATAAAGAGGACACAATTCATGCTCATCTTCTGGCAAATGGCTGGGTACAGTGTGGTCTCTCCATGTGGTAGACCATTTCCCAGCTGCAGCAAGAAGTGCAGATTGACACCTGCTACAAGATGTCCAGCTCAGCCTTGAAAGCATAATGCCCACATCCCATCTGGTTTAAATTTATTGGAAGTGTCCAAGGCAGACAAATCTATAGTAAATGAGGTAGATTATGGATTTCAGGGGCTGAGGAAGAGGAGAATGGGAGACAGCTACTAATCAGAGGCAGGGTTTGTTTTTTGTTGTTGTTTTAATTTTATGTGTTTGATATAGGGTATTGCTACACAGTTTGGATTCTCAGTGAATCTCCTGTTTCAGCCTCCCCAATGCTGGGATTACAGGCATGTGCCACCACGCCTGGTGGCAGCTCGGTGTACCTTGGGCAGGGCTGGCCTGGCATGTGGTACTGGGGATCAAAGCCTGGTTCTTGTGCTTGCCCAGGCAGGTCCTCAGACCCTGAGCTATCTCTGTGGCCTAGGTTTTGTTTTTTAAGATAATGAAAATGTTTGAAATTTAGATAGTGATGATGCTTGTATGGCTATACAAATAAAAACAAATCAAAATGGAAGAAACAATCAGGCAAGGAGGGAAAGGACTGTGGCACAGAGGACTGTGGAGGGGCAGCCAGGCTGCGATTCTGGAGACTCAGTTCTAGTTCAGAGGCATTGACTGATGAGCCACTTGGCTATTGGGAAAGCCGCTTCTCTTCAGTTTTTATTTCCTTGACTACCAAGTCAGTCAGTGCAACACAGATTCCAGGTCCCAAATTCAGGAGGTGCAAAGGGCAGAAAGTGGTCTTGGTCCAAGTGGGCCACTGGCAATGGGACACCATCAGTGCTCCTGGGGTGGGAGCCTGGCTGGCACAGGTGTGAGTGGCAGAAAAAGGCTGTGTCCAAAGGTCCCTCAGCAGGAGGACCTTGGGGACATGTCTGAGGTGACTGCAGAAGAGACCCCAAGGGTCTGAGGGAGCCTCTGCTGAAGAGCTAGGACTCTGTAGGACCCAGAGTGCTGGGTGAAACAAAGCCCTGCCTCTTTAGAGAAATCCAGCTCTCACTGGCTCTGGGGCTCCTCAGTTGGAGGGCCAGGGATGGCTCTGCAGCCCACCTGCTCTTTGTGCTCCCTGCCTGGCTGGCCTCATGCAAACAGCTCTGGCCAGGGCCTCTGTCTTCCCCCTTCCCTGCAGCCTTAGTGAGAACTGTCCCACTTGGGCCATATGTGGCACAGGTTGTAGAGTGCTGACATCATGAGTGCTGTGAGTGCAGAGGTCAACACTATTCTTTTAGGTGCTAAAAAAAAAACACTGAAGGCCACTGAAGAGAAAGAACAAGGGAAGGGAGGGGAGTAGTGGAGATGCTGGGCTGCATTTGTGACCCTGTGACCTAGGGGAAGGGCTCAAGTGACATAAGGAGCAGAGTAGGTGGAAACTAGGGAGGGTGACTACAGTGAGCCTGAGGGCCTCATGGCTGGATGAACTTGCTCTCTTAAAGCATGGACAAAGTACCAGGCATGGTGGTGCGTACTTGTGATCCCAGCTACAGGGGGAGGCTGAGATGGGAAGATGGCAAATTTGAGGCCAGCGTGGGCAACTTAGTGTGACTTGTCTCCAAATAAAATGAAAAGGGCTTGGAATGTTGCTCCATGGGGGAGTGTTTGCCTAGCACACAAGAAGCCTTGGGTCCAGCCTCTGGGAGACAGAAAGGGAGGGAGACAGGGAGCACAGGGGGCTGGGTGAGGCTGGAAGGGGAGGAAGATGAGGCTTGAGGATAGACAGGTCTGGGTTCCAGAGGCTCCCAAGCACCTGGGGAAGACCCTGGGAGGTGCAGAATTGGGGTTCTATCTATGCCCCACCCTGGTAAGGCCACACCAAGGCTGCTGTGTGTCAGGTAGTGTAACTGCCGGCCACACAAGTGGCAGGCAAGGTGTCCAGCCTGCACCCTCCATATTCAGGGTGTCCCACAGGTGTGAGGTGGGATGGGACATCACGAATCCTTCCACTGAGAGGTTCAGCTCTGACACCTGGCCTTTCTTCTTCCAGAGGCAGGCAAAGTATTCCGAGAACAAGCTGAAGTGTACAAAGGCCCGGAATGACTACTTGCTCAACCTGGCAGCCACCAATGCAGCCATCAGCAAATACTACATCCACGATGTCTCTGATCTCATCGATGTGAGCATGCTGGGAGCTGGGTTGGTGGATCTCCTTGGCTGGAGGAGGGTGGCCCTTGGCTGGCATGTGGGGCTACCAGGCCACTAAGCCCTGAGAAGAGAGGGAAATGAGTGTTGGGGCCAGGACTCTGTCATCTCCATTGGAGCCAGGACTGTGTCTGTCTCCTGTTTCCTACAGAGGGGTACCCGCCTTGTAATGCTTAGTAGTTTCAGTGCTAGTTCTGGGTCCTTTCTCCCTGACCCAAGGTGTTCTTTTGGGAGGAGAACACAGGGGGTCCCTGCTTTCTGGTGGCTGCAGACAGGAACCTATCAGCACCATCACAGAGGAAATCGTGTCTAGTCTTCCAGCTTGCCTAAGGCCAAGCCCCTCCTCTTTGCCTGTTCACTTTCTTTGTGGCTCACACAACCCTTTCATGCATTCTCTTACCAAGCAATTATAGAGCACGTACTGTGTCCTGAAATGCAAGGGGCAGCGGTGGGTGGAGTCAGGGTCTGCCCTCATGGTGTGCACCTTGCAGAGGGCAAGTGAAGAGGCAGTTGCAGGGCTGTGGCAGGGTTGTATTGTGGGGTGGGGACACCTGACAGGGCTCTGAGTGTGAAGGCTGTCAGGGAGGGCTTCCTGGAGGACAGGACCTGTAAACTGAACAGGGAAGGAAGGGTGCTCATGGCAGAGGAGATCTGCATCAATTCTGGAGATGAGAAACCACTGAGTTCAGGGAGCTAGAGAAGCTCTACTATTGCCAGAACCTCAACCCCTGCTCCATGTGTGGGCTTTGGAGGAGCTTGGTTTATGTGCAGGAAGGAAGGGCTCTGAGCCCTGCCCACTCTCACCTGCATCCTTCTGTCATTGTACCTCCCCAAGTGCTGTGATCTGGGCTTTCATGCCAGCCTGGCCCGCACCTTCCGGACCTACCTCTCTGCTGAGTACAACCTAGAAACCTCTCGCCACGAAGGGCTGGATGTCATCGAGAATGCTGTGGACAACCTGGACTCCCGCAGTGACAAACACACAGTCATGGACATGTGCAACCAGGTCTTCTGTCCTCCACTCAAGTTCGAATTCCAGCCCCACATGGGGGATGAGGTTGGTCCCCCCAGGACTCTGCCTGATGAGGCTGTCTTAGTCTGTTTACTGTGGCGGTGACAAAGTGCCTGAGGCAGATAGCTCCCTAGGCTTGTTTAGGTCATTCCCTCTTCTGGGATCAAGTGAACCCCAGACTATTAAGGTACCAGCATGGCTAGCCAGAGTCCCAGGGGAGCACCACTGGCTGTGAATGGCACCTATGGCAGAGGAGGGGGGTGGGACAAGGAGCATCCTTAGTAGGTGGTATCTGTTGTGTGCTCCAGATGGCTCCGCATGCCTTCATTTGCAAGAGAATTCCTGCAGGGTGATGCCCCTGCTCCTGATGCGGCCTTCTGCCCTCATGTTTGCGTGTTAAGCTCATTGCCTAGACTGAAAATTCTGGATTGTCTTGATTTGTGTGCAGGAAGAAAGGGCTCTGAGCCCTGCCCATGGTAACCCACAAATGGTTACCATGATGAAATTTGGGTCACCTGGCTAGCAGTAAATAATTAGTTTTGATAACAAAGCCCTACTGTCTTTTCTGACCTTGGTCACATTTTTGGAAGGGGAGGCAAACCTGATAGCCCAGCCACAGGTAGCAACAGAGCTCTGGATGGAAAAATACAGGGAAAACTGCAGCCATCATCACTCAGTGCTTATGGGAGATTGTCCAGGATCCCTGTGGACACCAAAATCTGCCAATCTTGAAATAAGATGGCACAGTATTTGCACAGAATCTATGTTCAGTCTCTTGTATCCTTTAAGTGAATTTAGGTTAGTTAGAATCCCCAGTGGAGCGTAAGCATGTCAGTAGTTGTCGCACTATTGTTTAGAGAACAATGACAGAAAAATAAGTCTGTGTGTGTTCGATACTGATTCAGTATTTTGTTTATGGCCATACCACCTTGAACATGCCCTATCCCATCTGATTCAGTACTTTTCCCTGTGTATTTTCTATCTTTGGTTGGGAATCTGTGGACATGGAACTATAGATAGAGAAGGTCAGCTGTGTTCACTTCTCTTCCCCCTCACCACCCATCCAGCCAGCGAGTGGGGAGAAGCTGAGGTGACTTCCCTTTGGAAATAAGGTGCCCCACTGACTCATCCCTGACATTGTCATTTCCTTCTTGCCACACCTTCCTGCTGGGAGATTATTAGCTAACCTTAGTAAGGTTACATTAAAGCTGATGCAAACCGCAAGTGTAGTACACATGGAGAAAATGGGGAATTCCTCGTCCACAGCAGGAAGGTGGGCATCAGAGCAGGATGATCCTGGTTTCCAGCTGGCATTTCCCTTGGCATGGTTGAGCCAGCTGAGCTTGGGTCTCTTTGCCTTGATGAGCCTGTCTCCATGCTGCTGGTGGGGTGTGGTGACAGCCCCGCCCCGCCCCGCCTTTTTCCTGCAGGTGTGCCAGGTCAGTGCCCAGCAGCCCGTCCAGACGGAACTGCTCATGCGGTACCACCAGCTGCAGTCCAGGCTGGCTACACTCAAGATCGAGAATGAGGAGGTAAGTGTGTGGTATTCTCCAGAGGTCCAGATTCAATGGGAAACATGTGTATAACTGTACAATGGGTGTGTCAGGTCGGCACAGTGATCAGAGATGGGAGAGTCCATCATGGCTGTCTGTGCCCTGGAGGGCCAGAGAAGCCAGCAACTGCTCAGCCCAAGAAGGTGGGAGCCATGGCATGAGAGGGATGAAGGGTGCAGCACCAGGCCAAGGCCGAAGGTCTTCTCCAGGTTCCCTGGGGAGTCATCTGTGCACTGGGAGATTTCAGAAACGATGAACCGATGTCCAAAGATGATGGCGGAGCCTAGAGCTCTTCTGAAATGGGCACACGTCACCTTCCTTCCAGTTTTTATTTCATCCAGGCTACAGACATAATTGTTTGCACCACCCACACTCAGAGTGGTCTTCCCTCCTTGGTTTGGTCTCCTCAGTCATCCACAAACACATCTGGCTCTGTGCTTAGTGATCTGCTCCTTGGTTCTCCATTCAAGGTGACAAACCATGGTTAATGGTGACAGTGAGCTGCCCCTTATCCTGGCAGGAGTTTGCTTATGAAAGCCTGGCTTGTTCTGGGAAGGCTGCTCAGGCCTGGAATATGTGGGAAATGGTGCTTCCTCTATAAGCAAGGAGATTAGACACATGCTGGTCTGCGATGGCTGAGGGAACGCTCAGCGATGTTGAGTGAGCAAGTGGGATTGAGTCCAGTGGGATCTCAACCAGGCAAGCCAAACTCTGTGGATATGCATCTGGTGTGTGTTCACAGACATAGAAAAGAGAAAGAATTCAAGTTTTTAACTGTGCTTATGTGTGGGTTGTGAGATTGATAGGCTTTTGTTGACTTCATTGTGCTTTTTTTTTTCTCCTGTTTTCTACAAGGAGTTTCTGTTTTGATGCTCAGAAATCACAGGAGGGATTTAAAATTACACAGTGCAATAAACAACCTTGGGTACCCTACATGTGTTGTGGAGTTGGGGCTCTAGGTGCAGGCCACACCCAGCACACCCTGCATGAAGCTGCAAGATGCTGGTGAAATGCCCTGTGAGGTGGCTCCATTCTGATGTGAACTGAAAAGGCCAGATGGGAAAGCTGCACATCCCCAAGGAGGAAGGCAGCCAACAGTGGGAGGTTCCTGGAGAAAGGACTCCAGGACGAGGGGTGTCACCCAGAGTCATGGGTGGTCACAGTGGACATGGGCGAGAAGGCATGGCTGCTGTCCTCTCAAGAGGGCTGGCCAGGGTAGAGGACAGAGTTCCCTTGTGCCAACCCCCAGGGCAGAACTAGCCCAGATGCAAGGCAGACCAGAGCTCAGGATGGTGCATACTCTGAGCCATCCTGGAGTGGGTTATGTGGATGCAAACCAGGCAAGAGACAGAGCAACATGGTGTTTTTTCTTCCTCTTTGTGCCCTACATCTGCTCTCAAAAGATTTTATATCATGTACACAAATAAATAAAACACTTTTATAAAATTGCTTAGATGGAACAGTGTATAGATAACAGAACTTAAATTGGAAAATCAGGGCCACAGAAAGAAGGATGAAGTAAATGGTCCTTTCCATGGTTATTAAAGGACGTGGAGATGCTTTATTTTAAACCTGAAATTCCTGTCAGTGTATGTTAGGTAGAACAATTGATTTATTCATTCAATAAACCCATATTTAACAACCAATATTTACTTGAGTGTTTTTGAACATATACTAGGTGCTAAGCATTGTCCTGTATAGAGAATAAAATTAATGAACATAACAACATAGTACTTCTTCTCAAAAAAAAGTTAAAGCAGAGTGACAATAAATGAATTTGAAAACAATAGTAAGCAATGACAGGCACGAGGTTAAAGCCTGAGAGGCTGCTGTAGGTCAGGAGAGGAGGTGATAGTTCAGCTGAGGTCTGAGTGACAAGAAAGGACTTGGAATGGCAATAATCAAATTACAACAAATGTAGACAGTTTTTCCTGCTGTTTTGGGATGACTGTCACTAGTGTAGAGCCTGCCATTCACACACTGTCTTGCAGAGGGTGTTGTGAGGGCCAGTTTCTTGTGCCCTGCTTGTGGAATCTCTAGATTCTGGAAGAGCAATTACTTCTGCTGTTGTCTCTACCCAAGGGACCACTCCCATTGGGGCATGTGGGGTGGGGCTGCATAACCAGGCCAAGATAAGTAAACCTGGAACCTGGAATGTCTCGGTCACAGTAACAATCCCCACAGTTCTCTCTGGCAGAAGCAATACAATAAAATGACTTTAGCTTGGGTCCCCTGGCTTCTCTCTCACCTCAGCCAGCTTTATCATCTTAATTTCCACATTGACATAATGGGAATAATCATCTTTATCTTGCTTGCTTCCTAGAAAGGTCTGTACAAGAATAAAGTACACAGTGGGAAGGCATTATGAGGTTAAAGGGGTTTTGTGGACGTGCTATGTTTCTCCAGGTTAGAAAAACCCTGGATGCTACCATGCAGACCTTACAGGACATGTTGACAGTGGAGGACTTCGACGTCTCAGATGCCTTCCAACACAGCCGGTCCACTGAGTCTGTGAAGTCAGCCGCCTCTGAGACCTACATGAGCAAGATCAACATTGCCAAACGGAGAGCCAACCAGCAGGAGACAGAGATGTTTTATTTTACAGTAAGTGGCTTCCTGGTCTCAGAATCCAGCTAGTGTCTCCTGACCACTTGGCTGTGAGGTTAGGGAGCAGACTGAGTGAAAATCTGCAAAATCACATGAGTTGAGTTAGATCTAAGAACCTTTCAATACACTTTCACAGAAATTTGCCTGGCTTGTTTTTCTGAAATACCGGAAGAGAGTTACCAATGGGTAGCACTGGCTTTGAGCTTGTGTGACGGTTATTGAAAATTTCCTACTCTAGAAAAAAAGGAAGCAAATAAGAAACGTCTTTTCATTTGAGTGATGGCAACTTGTCTAAGGGAGCCAGATGCAAGCCCCAAGTAGCAACCCCAAAGTTATATGCAGGTGGTATTGTGCTGAATTGCCTCAAATTTGGTGTAGGCTTTAGAAATCATATCCTCAGCAATGCAAGAAAATTGCTCATGAGCTGCTAGCCCCTCACATAAAATCCCAGTTTAGCTATTTCCCATTTGGCCAGAGGCACCGAGAAAAAGGAGACTGGGAATTAGGGCTTCTGTTCAACCTAGACTGATTGGAGCTTGACTGTTAGGATTGAAGGAATCTGTCTTCCTTCTGATCTATATCTTGGCCAGAGGTCTTCAAAACTGCTGGAGTATGCGCAGGATTAAAAGCTTCCTCCTCAAAACATCCACTGGCTTTGGATATTATGTTTTCATTCATCTTTGTTGTCTTCAAAAACCTGTGCACTGAGATTCCTGGCTATTGATCTTGATTCTGTCTGTGGAGGGTAATTCTATAGGACAGTGTTCCTGTGGTTGCAGGGAGCTGGGTTTTCTATCCCAGGGGCTAATTGCACTCATTCTCAAATTCTTCCCTTAAAAACTCTTACTTTGGGTAGCTGCCCAGGGTCCATTTGTGGATGCTTCTTTCAAGGTAAAATTCAGAGTTAGGCTGACCGGCATGGAACAGAGCAAAACATTCACCCTTTCTATCCAAGGAACTATCTCTCTTCCTCTTAAAGGCTCTATAGATGATATCTTGGGTGGGTCTTGTGTCTTTTGCTATTTAGGTATCTTATTTACTTTTGGTACTGGGACTCAAACTCAGGACCTTGTGCTTGCCAGGCAGGTACTAGGCCACTGAACTATATCCCTAGCATAGATATCCTCTTGAGGATACCAGCTTTCTCTCACCCTGGGCTCTTGTCCTGACGACAATGGGAAATGAGGCCTATAGGATGACAGTGGGAATGAAACTGGATGTGGCTTATTAAAAAGAATAAAAGAAAAGCTTCCATCTGTTGGAAAGGGTTCCACAAGGAGGTTAGGGTTAAGGCTAGGGTTAAGATTAAGGTTAGGGAAAGTCTAGTAGCTTACTAACAACTCTTTGGCATGCAAAAGGGCAGAGAAATGCAGGTGTACTGTGGTTGCCAGGCTTCTTGTCATCAGCAGATTTTGTTACTTCTTTGTCCTTTGCATTCCAGGTTTCTTGGGCTTCTCCTAGTTTTCTCAGGGACTTGTCCTTTGTCTGAGGCTTGTCTCAGCTTATTTGGGGTCTTGGTCTTTGGTTTACTCAGTTGGTGAAGCCCCTTTGCCCCAATCTGCTGCCACCTCCCTCCCCCTGTGTCAATGGCTCCGTATTGCTAGAGTCCTTATCTAGTTGGTCAGCACTTGTGGTGTCTTTTCAGATCTCTTATTCTGTGCATGTTCAGTGACCATAGCTTCCATGCCCTAAAGTTTATCAATCCCAAAAAACAGTGTCTCAGGCCAATGCTTAAAACAGAGCTGGTAAGTATATATAACTCGCTGATGTTGATTCATGCAATTAGGTTGGTGTCAATTTGGGCTCCATTTCCAAATCTACCCAGTTCTAATATCCAGCTCCATCTTGTGCTGGCCTTATCAAATACCTTGTTAAGAATCAATAGTTGACACATACTCCATTTCTGCCCCAGAGTGACTCGAGCTGCTTCGCCCCACTATGACTTAGCCCCAGGCAAGACATCATGGGCCAGACGTGAGGTACCAGGGGGCAGGAATTGGTGTGTTCACAGTCTCCTCCTCCAGTGATGAGGCCACTGGGCCTCTGCTCCACACTTGGAGAAACATGATGAGTCTGTTCTGCCCAGGGTCACGCAACAAGTGACCACAGCTCTGGCCTCTTATTTCCTTGTGGATAGAACAAACATGATGATGCTTCCCTTGCTTGTCATCCAAGTTAGTGGGGCGTCTCTACCATTCAAATGTGAAGAATGGAGTGTTCTTCCATTACGAAGAGGAGTGATTCTTAGTGGCCAAGAACCCAGGTCCTCAGAGCCAAGAAGCAGCAGGGAAAAGGAGAAAGGACCTCTCCTGTACCCCACAGCTGCCACCTGCTGGTCACTCCAGAATCCCTCAGAGGACCAGGAGACATGCTGGTTTTACGTGTATGTGTGCACGTGTGTGTGCACACATGTGCATGCTAGCACACTCGGCACATGTGGGAGATAGAGGATGGCAGAGTTGGAGGTCTGGGCCTTCTGCACCCCTCTTCCCTTCCTATTGGAGTGTATGAGGGTAGGGTGAGAGCTGATTGCTTTCTGAGAACCTGGCTGGCAAGTTTGCAGTGGTCCTGGCTGCTTTCTTGACTTTTTCCCATGGCCCATTCCTGCCTCTGCAGGTTCAGTCATCTCCTTGGCAGTGCCGTCTTCCTGGGCCTCCAGCCCATGATTCCTGCTTTACTTTTGTCTGTAGCTTTACACCATCTGCAGCATTTTCTAGTTGTTTATGTCTGTGTCCCCTGTGGGGGTTGGAATCCCTCATGAGTCCTCAGCTTGAAGCAGCCTGTTGGAAATGCAGGGCTGGAGTGAGTGGGGATGCTGGTGCCTGTGTGGAGGCTTGGCTAGACTGAGTGTGGGCAGGCAGCTGCGTCTCTGTCCTGCATGACCTCTGACCTTCAGTGCTAAGCTGGTCCAGGACCACAACCTGGAAGGCAGCCTGGCGTGGGTTGGAGTCCCTGCCAACACTCTGTTGTGCCTCAGCCAAAGCAATTTCCTGTCCTGCCTCCTTGTCTCATCCATGAAAAGAAAGTTGGTTCACCCAATGTGGGCTCTGTTAATGGGCTGGCATCTTGGGGGCCTGTAAAGCGCATCCTGCTGCAGAGTGGTGCTTATTCCTGGCTCTTCTTTGACAGATACAGCACAGCTCGGCAGGCCCAGCAGCAGGTCCCAGGATGTTCTGATACAGCAGAGCTGTGAGGACTAAAGACACCCTGTGCTTTGTGTAGCCCACAGCCCTTACCTGACAAAAACACCATCAAGGTTCCCATTCTGTGGGCTTCATTTGTGTTCCCAGAGCTCCCCAGGACTAAGAAGCTGCTTGCCAGATTAAGGTGCAGATGGCGTGGAGACCTCTCTGTCTTCATGCTAAGGGTGACCTAATCTCCCTGAGGCCTTTCTGTCCCAGAGGTCAGTTCCAGAAGCAGAGAACCCATTGCATGACCTGCCACATGTGAATTCCTGTGCATTGTGTCTTACAGAAATTCAAAGAGTATGTAAACGGCAGTAATCTCATTACCAAGCTCCAGGCCAAGCATGACCTACTCAAACAGACGCTGGGTGAAGGTGAGTCTGATGGTGTGGGCCCCCAAGAGCAGCTGGCTCCCCACTCCCACTGTGTCTTGTCATAGCCCTAGGGCCACAACACTGCTTAAGCTTGAGACAATGAGCACTTGGTACAGGGAGGCTGGTCCTGGACCCAGTAACCATGCTCGGTAGACTGGGAAGATGGCTTAGGTACAGGTGCTACAAGGGCCCAGATGGGAGCAGAGGCTGAGGGAGGCATAGGTTTTGTTTAGGCCAAAAGGGAAGATGCCCAGCCTGGGACAGAAGAGGCCCCATGATGTAGAGCAGGAGAACCCAGGGTCCCAGGAGTTAGCATCATGCCCTGAAGCACATGCCAGCAATACTCCTAAACACCTTGTCAGAGAAGGAAAATCCATACATAGAAGGCAAAATTTAGTCCTTTCTAAAAAATATTTTTTGTTGGACTATGTTTGTGATACATTCTACTCAGATTTGTTTTGGGGGATTGGTACATATTATATCATGACTTTCTTTGACCTCCTTTCTCCATCCCTCTGTTTCCCTCTCCCCCTTCCTCTGTTCCCTTTCCCCATCTCCAAAAAGTCTGCTTCCCTGTTACCTACTATTTCACTTTTGTATTTATTTATATTCCATATTTCTCATATAAGAAAAGCCATACAAATTTAACTTTCCATGTCTGACTTACTTGGCATAACCTTACAGGCTTAAGATCCTGGAGACTAGGTTTATTTTTTT